GATCCGTCTGTTTTCAATCCAGAGCGATATCTACTAGGAGTCGGCGGTCTGGATGCGTCAGAGGCTGTCGAGAGCGCTTTTGGGTTTGGGAGAAGGTACGTACGTAGGCTTCTGGAGCCGGGAGATTTCTGATCATCTCGTGATAGGATATGTCCCGGGATGTACTTGGCGGAGAACAGTGTCTTTTTGACTGTTGCTACGATTTTGGCGACGTTTGATATACGGAGGGTTGTGGATCCTGTCACGAGGGTTGAGGTCCTGCCGGAGGTGGAATATGATGGGTTTATCAGGTATTATGATAGCAGTTGCTCGCCCTGTTGTACTTGAAGCTGATGTGCTTGCTAGTCATCCTCGGCCGTTCAAGTGTAATATCACCCCTCGTTCGGAGCACACGAGGGATTTGGTGTATGATCTACTCGAAACGCTGGAGGCTACTGATTCTCAGGTTCCGTACTGATATTCGTTGACATAAAATGAAAGAAAGTCCTCTCAGTATCCAGTAACCCCTAAACACGTACTATGAGTCGTGTTTAGGTGACGGTGTAACATTGTGACATTGATTTGTCTCGCACCTCCCTTATGAGCAACAATATATTCGTCGCTGGCGGCACTAAGCACTAAAGCCAGCGTCCACTGCACTCCAAGCCAACGGGAAGGTCGCCATCTACCACCCGGGTTATGAACCACCCAAATTGCTTATGCTGCTGGTCGCTTTTTGCTCCCCTTCTGGTAGCTACGGTGTCCCTTTCTCTGTCGTTTTAGATGCGTCTTGGATTATAGCGAACAACAGCGATGGAACTCTTCGCCTGCTCGGCGGTGACGCTGACTTGATCCCGCCTAAAGAACACTCCCTTCTACCGCCTGGTCAGTGGCCACTACGAATACCGAGTCATAGGAGGAGAAGCGTACGTCGTCCGACCTTTTAATGCTGTTTCTCAAGTCTTTGACGTAGCCGTTATCCAGTTTGCACATCCTTTCGCGCCTGGAGGCCGCCCAACCGCTTGCCTTCACATTGGGATGACGCTGTGATGGGAGCCAAAGCCTCTTCCCCAGAGTCGAATGCCTCGGATGACAGTATCGCGGTGAAGGCGGTGGACGGCCGGTGTATATTGAGCGGGGAACTCAGCCGTCTGCATAGCTGTCATCTGGTTCCTGAGACAGAGGCCAACTGGGTGCGTTGCGAGGTCGCACTTTAAACAATCTCGTTGTTTATCCAAAATACCAGTGGATTGATATGGCGATGTCAGCACGAACGCAAAGTATCCAAGGCCTCAACTCCGCGCCAAACTGCCTTGCCATGCGCGCCGAGGTCGGCGCACATGGTATGAATCTCGGACATTTCGTTTTCGCGCCGTATGCAGGTATGGCTTGAGGCGGTACCGAGAATGGAACCGCCTACTCCTGTGAAGGACGGCGCTGTTGAGGCAATTTACGCAGTATGAGCGCGAGTTGGATGTGGCGGCGCAGAATTTCCAGGTGGGTTTTGGGCCTCGCTTTCTGTGTTCTCATACACCAGTGTAGCACCATTTGCTGTGTGGCGTAGCCATGGATGTAGCTATCATGAAAGAGACGCCCTCCGCTTTTTTATCAATCCTTACTCAGGCGCTCGTGGGTCTGAACATTGGGAGATAGCGGCTTTCTCCCCAATCAGTGGCGGTGGTGGTGGTGGTGAAACGGGTATGGTCCCGAGATGAAACTGCCGGTTGCGGTGTTTTTAGTTGATCCAGCCTGTTGCTCTTGGTATTCTTCTTTTAGTGTCTTTCAATTCATGCGCCACTGCTGTACCATTATGTTGCCTTATACTCTCTTTTCTCTTTGTACGCTAGAAAACTGCGCTTCTCTCATCTAATTCTTGTTTGACAAGATCTTCATATTAGCGGCATCTTCTTGTTTGGTATCAAAGAATACTCTAGATCCCAAGCAAAGCGAGTAGGTATGAGTTGAGGCAACCAATGGCAGTGTCTCTGCAATGAGGTAGTATAGTTCACTAAGAGTACTCTATTGGGTGGCGCCACATCGCTGTTGGCAGTCCGTCGTATTCCGATAGTCGACATGGCACCGCCGGGGGCGGCCGACCTTGGCGGTGAAGCAATGCATGATCTTTCATGCGCCAGCGAAGCGCGCAGGCGCTCGCACTGTCTCGGACATCGTTGTCAACGAGAGCGGGCTGGCCGGCGGCCTGGAGGCTGTGAAATCAGGTGCAACGGGTGATGACGTGGAGACGGGTTCTCGGCGAGTGCCCCGGCCAATCAGGAGGCGGGAACTGTTCGGCAGCAGCACCGGAGTCTCGGCCTTTTGGAGCGCCGCGGGCGCCCTTAAGTCCGCCCTTTTACACGTCACATTTCGTTTCCGCCTCTTGCCCACCGCCCATCATGACCAGCAACGCCCAGCTTGCTGCCCTCCTCAGCGAGAGCTACAAGGAAATTGAGGAGCTGCGACGACGCACGTGTCCCGCCCAGGACGAGCTGCGCGCCTGTCTCACCGCTCTCGATGACATTCGCGGTCGTCTTATCAGGCTGCTCGGCGACGACGACCACAACCACAACCATTCCCCGACGCTCAAGAGACCGGTAAGCACTTTGCCTGCACCGTCGGGATACACTCTGACTGTCGTTTAGCGCACAAATTCTGACGAGTCCCGCTCTGAAACGAGCCCGCCTGCCGCCAAGAAACCTATGATCACTATTCCTCGCGCCAACACTATACCAGTTGTCCCTGTCCCCGGCAAGACATACCCTTCTCAAAACGAGCTCGGGCAGCGCATATGCCGCACCTGTGGCCAGCCTGGGCGCTACAAGGAGGGCAAGTGCGTCGAGAAGTGGGGTCCCGGCCCGCTTGGTCCCGGTACCGTATGCGATAGGTAGGCTTGTCTCCGCCTTTCGTATCTCCGGTGCTAATCTATCCTTCTTAGATGTCGCAAGAAAATCAAGCGGGTTGAACGCCGTGCTACTATCAAGCCAGTTGTACCGCAGCTAGCGCGTAATAACCTTCCCCAAGCTCTGCTTTCCCCGCTGCAGTCGCGTGCTAGTACGCCGACTTACTCGCCTGAGCCGCTGGAGGATCTCTTGCTCAAGGTACAGGAGCCGAAAGAAGAGAAGGACGAACTGATGAGTGATCCTGATATCGATGATGTGAAGGAGGAGATTGTTGATGATTTACTTGATGCTGTGGAGGCGTCGGAGGGACGTTGACCGTTGGAGAATCTGTTTTCTATTTTTTTTCTCTGGTTTCTTGGACGTTTAGATGTATTGCTTTCTTGTATGATGGCGCGTGTATTCTACTGTAATGTTATCATCCAGCTCACTTATCTGATACCTTTCTTGTTGCGAAGGCGCGCTCGTCGCCAATGTCAATCAATTCGTATGGTGCGCGCGCGCTCGTTGACGACGTTTTCAGACCCTTTTTACGAATGTCGAGAATCGACTCGAATGAAATCTCTGTTGCATGATCTAGTTGCGCATAATTGGTGCATTTGGCGGAAGCTTGGCTTCGGGCACTCCGGCCTCTGTCCTTCCTGATGACCGCCGTCCATCGTCAGAGCGCGCTGTCTCATCGTCATAGCGCGCCTCATCATCATCATAGCGCGTCATATCCCGCCGTCCTCTACCTCTTGTCCCGCCTCTATAAAAGGCGGCCAAACTTTTTTCGTTTCCATAAACTCCCACTATGCCACCCACTTACCGGATGTGCCTAAACCAGGTCTCGAGAGAAAACGTTGCAAGTCTTTTCATCTCTCTTTGCTGTTCCATCCTGACGCTGTCCAGATCCGTATTGCTGGCCGCAATCTCGACGCTGAGACCGACGAAAATGGTCGACTCAATCCAAAGCGAGCCAAGCACCTAAGGGCATTCTTGACGAATTTCCTTGCAGACCCCGACGCTGCGCAAGCAGAGCACGATCGTTTTATGGCCAACCTCAAATCTAGTGAGGAATGTATGAAACTGTTTGATGAGCAGGACCGTAAGCTCAAGAGAGCGGCGCTTGCACCGTCGATATTTGCGCTGATCGTTATTTAGCGCACCAACTCCGACGAACTAGACTCAGAAACGAGCCCGCCTGCCGCCAAGAAACTTATGATCACCATCCCTCGCGCCAACACCATAGTCCCCAACAAGACCTCCCTCGCTCCAAATGAGCTCGAGCAGCGCACCTGTGGTCAGTCCGGCTGTTATGAAGAGGGTCAGTGGGGGCTTGGTCCCGAGACTTTATGCGACGGGTAGGTGTGTTTCCGCCTTCTATAATTCCGCTGCAAATTAGCCTTTGTCAGATGTCGCAAGAAGAATAAGCGCGAGATTGTCGACCATCTACTATGCGTAAGAGGGACGTTGACACGCACTAAGCTAAGACCGTTGGAGAATCTGTTTCTTTGTTTCTTTCTGGTTCCTTGGACACGTAGAAGGATTTGTATTTTACTGTAGTGTTTCCATTCACCTCGCTTTACTCTTACCTTCATCGCTGCGAACTTGGAAGAACGATAGTCAATTGTAAAGGGCGCATTGGTTTCTACCTGAAAGACACAATCGACTTCCATGGCCGCCATTTCGATGGTACTACCATACAACGGGGTCACGAAGACAGTACCAGAGCACCGATGCGAATGCACATCATTCCTTGGACGTTTTACGTCAGATACGATCCGTCGTCGGTTGGTTCGGGGGATTCGCTTCCGATTCTTTGTGGCGTTGTTACTAATTCAGCAAACAACAAGCCAGGATTGATGTGCGGCCGGGTACTGATTGCTATATTCCCGAGTTTGTTAGGTACTTAAACGTATCTGCAGAACAGGAATCCAAGAAAGATGGATTCTGCCTATGCTGGCATCGGGGAGTTGGAAACTGGATTTCACCTCAAGTACCTTCGCCATCTCGATAGACGGTTGTATTGTGAATACATGGACGAACTACTCACTCCCAGTCAATGTACAGGTGGAGTGAGTGTATCAACAACTGGGTGGGGAAGACGTTAAGCGGTCATAACCACTCACATTCAAAATATGCCACGACCCCTTAGCTCAGTGGTAGAGTGTGTGATTCCAGCTTTCCTAATTAGGCAATGCTTCCACAAAGTCAGCTGTTCGATCCAGTTAGGGGTCAGCGTTTTTCTTCAAGAAGGTAGGTGTGGCGTATAAAATCTATGAGGGTCCTACTGGGTCAATTAGTTTTGATATCGACAGCGGGTTCTGACAGTCAAAGGCATAGTGCGCCTCAATCATATTATTACAAACAGTTCAGTCGAGTATTTACGTGTTCTCTACAAACCCCACGGGTTGATGTCGACATCCATGGCGACATGGTTGCTTTTCGGAGGGGAGGCATTCATGGTGCCCGCAACGTTGGAGAAGGGAGTACGGGGGGGTGTGTTTTGGGTGAGGGAGCGTGTCAGGAGGTCCTTCGCCCGCCATTGGCAATTCTCCTCTTCCAGCACCTTGTTCTGTTCAGCAAGCTCCTGGACGATGCTACGGACTTTTCCGAGCTCCTCAGTCAAGGCCGCGACCTTGGCCTCAAACGCCTGCTTTTCCTGGATGTTGGACGCCGCGATGAGAAGAGTGATTGCCTCTTGCGAGAACTCCTCAACAACATTCCTGTAACTTGTTAGACGATAACGGTTTTGGAAGATGACAGAGACTCACTTCTTGGAAGGCTGCTTGCCCTTCTTCCTCTTTTGCGTCGTCAATGCCTCGTCTCTATTTGACCGTCAGTAACAAGGTCCTGGTCGAGAGCGGGAACTCTTACTGTCCGTCATCGCGAGCTCTTTTTGCACCAGCCATTATGGTAAGACGCAAGAAACGATGGGGCAGCTCTCCAATTAAAAGGTAAAAAGAAGCCTTGATTTATGATCGAATTACACGATAGCTACTACTCGAGCCGAGTACGCAAGTCAGCGACTTCCTTTATCAACATCTCATTGTCAAGATTAGGCAGATCGAGTCTAATGTTCTTGATTTTCTTGATCATGTCTTTGAGAACGGGGACATCCTATGCAGCAGTTGATTAAATCACGTTGCAGAGCGTGGCTCCAAACATACCTCGTCGCTAGCTTCTGAGTAGAGTACCTCCTCCCAGCGCAGAAAACCGTTCAGCTTGGCAATAATGGGAGGTATAGTCACCCGAGCCAAGGATCTGGGCGGATCCGTGATATGGATGTGGATCGTATGCTCCAGGTGAAGTTTATTGAAGTATTCCTTTTGAGGGCAGGAACGCCGAAAATGGTGACGTAGAGAGGGCATGGTGCTGTAGCTAGAGGGTCTTGTTAGAATTATGGATTATTGAGCCCAAAAGCTGCAGACCTTTTGGGGCAACGGGGGCATTTAAAGGTGGTCTCCCCGTCTACAGTATCAATAGCCTTGAGCTCGAGGTCTTCATATTCGGTATGCTGAGTACACCTGGGGTATGATAAGCATAGATAATCAAAGAATAAATGTTGACCTACATGTGGCGAACCAAGATTGATCGAGTAGAAAACTTTTGACCGACTTTCTTGTTGTCGTGGGTGTAAAGAACGCAGCGATCACAGACCCATTCGCCGGCCTGCCAAATGTATGAGTGAAAAAACAAGGAGCAAGGCAGATTGATCATACCGCGTTGCGGCAAGAATCGACGTGTTGATCAAAGACAATCGGCCCAACCAGATACTTGATCATGGCAATTCTCGCCTCAACGAGATCCACCACATCATCTCCAGAGCAAGGCCTCATACCATCATCAATGGAGGGAACAAGGAGGGTGTCGCCGTCTTGTTCCAAATCGGGGGCTTCGCAGATTGCGACATTGGATGTATCCTCTTGAGGTTCAGGCTCAGTGCCGGTTGCTTTCAAATTGAGCGTGATGAGATTGAGGTTGGCAGGGGTTTGAAGCTTTTCCGCTGTCTTGTCCTCATCGCATAATGCTAGAATATCTGCGACTTCATCAGGGGACAGGTTGTCGGCATAAGGGTCAGGAGCGGAATAGGCAGAGGCGGATGCGGAGACGGAGTGATAGAGGCAGAGGAGGATGCAGAGATGGATGTGGAGAGAGAGGCGATAGAGGCAGAGGAGGAGGCAGAGGAGGAGGCAGAGGAGGAGGCAGAGGAGGAGGCAGAGGAGGAGGTGGAGACGGAGGCAATAGAGGCAGAGGTGGATGTTGCGCCTGACGGCTTAAAGACAACCTCTGGGAGACCTTGTCGAGCTCGTCCAGCATTGACGATGCTGCCGGCCAGAATCTTGCCACCGGTCTCTAGAGCATTGCGAACAGCTTGTTGCTCCTGCATCGTGCCAGGGTGCTCCAACGTCCGTTGACTTTTGCGCAACCTCTCCTTCTCTTTTGCCGCCTGTTCGTCATGTCTAACTTTGCGTCGAACCGTAGTGAGGGCTTGGCCAGCATAGCGCGCGCACTCCAGAGCCTGAGAAAAATTTGAGTGATATTCTTTCAAACCCAGAACAAACTTACGGCGTCAACTTGGGCCTGTGTAAAGCCACTCTTGAGGCGCGAACTCTCGGTGTATCGCTTCAACGAACTAACAGTATTTGCAAGCCCCGTTCCAGTATAACCTTCCACCATACTTTTGCAGTCTTCAATCGCGTCATTCAGAGTCTTAATGGCGGCTTTGGTAGCAGGATTTGCCTCCGCTTCCAACTCCTCCTTTTCCTCTTTGGTGAGTTTCTTTTCATCGGAGCCACTCGTCCTGGCTTTTCGGTGAGCTGCATAGCAATCTTGCTTGCCTTGACAGCCGCAGACGCGCCGCCATTGCTCTGATTGGGTTCGGCCAAGGTCTGTGCGTTGTTCATTTGGAGGAGGCGACGAGGGAGGTCCGAGTGTAGAGCCATAAGGAGGGCGGAGACTGCGGGAGTCGCCATTCTCTGCGCATTTAACGCGCTCTGGTGTAATACTGTTAGCCAGTGACGCAAAACACCAAAGTAACTTACTCAAGCTTGTGGCGTGATATCCTCTGGCTTCTCACTAGTCATGATTCCGGTCAAGTCGATGTTGGTGATTTGCGTCTGGTAATGATGGAGGTTATCATCTGTTTCATGACAGAGGACCATTTCGGCCATGGCCTTGCCGTAGATAATACTGATCTAGAAGAGATATTATAGATAGCAATGACTAGTAGTAGTAATTGCATCTACCACGTTGGCGACATGGGTCGAAACGCGTAAGACTTGCCTCCTTTGAGACCCGCTGCCTCGGACATTCGCTTGACAATCTTTCCGGCGCCGATGGCCATCAACGCTTTGGTCGGATTGATGCCCTTTCGCCAGGTTTGATCTCGCAAAAGCTACACAATTCAGTGAAAAGAAATCATATAATAAAGACAACTCACAGTGGCTCGTCCAGTCTGGACTTTTTGATACGTAGTTCACTACGGTTGTCGTTGAAAAGGTCGTCCAAGCACTGCAAAAAAAGGTTTAAAAATGACTATGCGCATATGCCAAAAAAAAAAACAAAAAAAAACTGACTTAATGTCCTCAAAAGCATCCCTAAGATGAAGGTAGACCACCAAATATGTGTTAAAGTCCTAAGGGTAGATTAGACCATGTCTTGGTGTAGCCGAGGTTGTAGGGTCCTATCGGATCCAACGGCACCATGCCAACCTTTCAAGCTGACGGCGTGAAGGAGAGTTTTGAATGCGAGCTTGCTCAACCTCTCAATCTTGACGTCGTGAAGCTTCATATACTAGACCAAGAATCAGACGCGGAAAAGGGGGGGGGGGGAAGAGCGTACCCATCCGCGCTTGCGAAAGGCTTCATCCGCTGGTCCAACCGTGCTTGGACGAGCACCCGTCAGGAAGAAGAATAAACATACGCAGATTTCTTGAATCACAGCCAGACGATTGCCGCCTTTTTCGGAATCCGTCAGAGCCACCTGAATCATGAGCATGAGCTCAATGGGACCAAAGACCAGTTTTTTCGTCCATGAAACGGTCGAGGTCGAGCTCGATGATCACTGCAATACATGAGTGGCAAAAAGGCAGGAAAAAAAAAGTAGAACTTGCAGGTTAAAACCCCATCCTTTATCTTCTTAAACAGCCCGCCCGTGGAGAGGAGCACCATACCCATTTTGGTCCCAGCTGCGTCAACGGTGTTCTGCGCGACGATTGACATTAGACGATTGGCAAAATTCTTGAGGGTTGACGACTTGATATGTTTGCGGCCTTGGGTGCCTTTGGTAGAGTACACCTGGAAAAGAGTTGGACGATATTAAAGAGAGAGAGAGGAGATGTACGCACGTACACCCAAACACATTTGGGAGCAAACTCTTTGACGTTATCGTACAGCCAGATTTGGGCGACGGTCACGATCCGATTCCGAGATAGATACCAAGTTTTGACGGTCCCGCGATAATATGATTGGATAGCCTCCAAGTGGCGAACGGTAAGGGGATTCTCGCTAGATATGAGGTTGTTCATGAAGCGATCGTGCTCTGCCTGCGCGGCGTCGGGGTCTGCAAGGAAATTCGTCAAGAATGCCCTTAGGTGCTTGGCTCGCTTTGGATTGAGTCAACCATTTTCGTCGGTGTCAGCGTCGAGATTGCGGCCAGCAATTTCAATCTGGAAACAGCGTCAGGATGGAGCAGCAAAGAGAGGAGAAATGACTTGCGACATTCGCTCGCGACGAGAGCCTTTCCATATACATCTGAGTAGGAGGGGGCATAATGGGGGCCTAGCTGGAACGAGAAAATATTGGCCGCCTTTTATAGAGGCGGGAAGGGCGGGGGATATGACCCAGAGCGGCGGAACATGACCCAAAGCGGAGGGAAAATGATGCGCAACAGCGGAACATGTCCAAAAGCGGAGAGAAAATGACGCGCAATGGCGGGAAATGACGTGTTGTGATGTGCTAAGCGTTGGGGAGGTCGGAGCGTTGGGGAGCTCGAAGTATTGGGGAACTCGAAGCGTTGGGGAGGTCGGAGCGTCGCATCCAAGATAATATGTCCACCTTTCTTCAATGGTGGAAACACGATGCGCGGCCACGAGAAGGATTCCAACCGGAGAGTCTCTTGCATTTTGTCGTGATCGACGGGAGAAACCACTTCCTCCAACTCTCCAGCGCCAGCATCAACCGCGGTGGTATGAACGACACGACAACCCGCAGGCGGCAAGTTCTCTGGTTTCAAAA